CATACAAGAGTTTATTCATCATTTTAACGATTAAATTTCAATATTTAACTATTTGAGGTGGTAAGATGAATCCTCACAAAATCTCTGTATAACATTTGAAAATCATTATTTGCATATTTATTTGTTCTATGTAAATGGTGAACACTAAACTGATCCCTGAACCTGCATAATTACATACTCAAGCTCATCACCAGAAGAAGTCAAGAAAAAATGATCCAAGCCTATGCAAATCAAAAACACAAGACAGCAGAAACAAAATCAACCTTGTTAATGTATTGTAGCTGCATAATACAAGTTGAAAGTGTTGAATGGTCTTTTTCACAATATCACTTCAAGAAATGAGGGGCATGGAACTATTTACACATCTCACGGCCAATCTAGTAGTGGTAGGCATGAAACAATAAAAGGATTTTCTTCAATTTGTGCATTTATGATTTACCATTAACAGGCCTAGAGCTTCATAGCAATCATGTTACAGATTCTTCCAAAGAGAATAGAAAAATCATGGATACTCAGATTCTTGAAAGGCACCAATTAGGAAGGAGGCTGCTGAGTTCTCAGCATCCTTCACTCTTGACCTCTCATCCCCTGTCATATAGAGCACACCTTCTGCAGTTGGAACTTTAACAGCACATACATATTTCTTCTCATGTGAAGGGCCTTCCTCTTTCTCAATGCTACAAGTTAATTGAAAGACAGACCATAAAATCAAGTTAAAGGAACAAAATGGGAAAAACCTGAAAAAAGAAGGTTGCATAATTTTTAAGACAGAGTACAGATGCAAAAGGAGATTTAGCAAAAGATAACAAGTGGAGAAAGGCTTACAGAGAGAAGTGTTTAACCATAATAAGTTAGCATGCAGAAGCAATGCTCAATAAGCTACAAATCTATGCATAATAGAAGCTACTAATAAGTTAATGCACATACATGTTCATCTTGACAGTATCATAAAACCCAACAGAGAGAACATCAGTTCATACCAATAACTAGGTTTCAGCCACTTCCTCTTGCGACAGAGCTCATGCAACTTCTGTTTCGCTCCCTCAATCTCAAAAGATCCATCCTCTGCAATAGAATATTCAAGCACCCCCGTTTTAGAAGATAGACATTTTGATAACTTATCCAAAGCCACTTTAGCAGAATTAAGCTTTGCTATCTCCTTCTGTTCAGACGAACTTGAGGCAACAAATGCACCATCTATGAACACACTAGCAATATTTTTTGCCCCATTTTTCCAATGCTTGATGTCCACTTGCTTTCCTTCCCTCTGGCAAAGCTCAAACAACATCGTCACTGGTTGTGGTTGATAATGCAAATTCTCAAGTGTAACAATAGGCTCCAACAGACCTCTAAACATCTACAAATATGCATAACAACAATGCATTGAATTCCACTTCTTATATGTTACTAGTGTTAGGTTGAAACAAGAAATGGGTATCAATACACAGTTAAAAACACACCGTCCAAAGCTTTTGAAGATCAAAATTGACATCAACATAGATAGCAGCTGCTATAGATTCTACAATATCAGCTAGAACCTTAGGTGCTTTCACTGATCCACCATATACGGTTGCATCACCCTCTTGACTGACAATCTCAGCAAACTCCCTAACCTTCAAAATTATAAGAAAACCCCATAGTGAATTTCCTGAGAATTTTAAGCTCTGTTTGGTTCTGGTTAAAACTAGTAGAAAGGAAAAACAAAATAGAGAAAAGGAAAGGAAAAGAAAGACCATAAATTTACAATCAAAATGAGGGAAAGATTGAAACTTTTAGTTCAGGGAACAAAATCACCTTATCATCAAGAGCAGTGGCATTGTGCCTGAACACATACTGATAAAGACCATGCTTGATGGCCACTCGGGCGAGCTTCTCCGTACTTACATTTGCAGCGCGAAAAAGAGACAACTGACCCGGATCAAGACCCGGGTACGCTAGGAATGCGTAGTTGCTCAAGGCGAGGGCAAGCGCAGCATCCCCGATGAACTCGAGACGCTGGTATGACCGCGACCAAGTGCACGAGGAGTGCGTCAGAGCCTCCTCCAGCAGCCTCTTGTTTTTGAAGGTGTAGTTGAGGATACCCTCGACGGCGAGAATCGATGGCTCAATAATGGAAGAGTTAGGTGACGTATCGGAGGAGGGGCTGTTCCAGGGAATCGCAGGCGGCATCGGGTAGGCAGTACCGTCGGAGATCGTATGAAGATGACGGCGATGGTGGGTCATGAAGAAGGAAAGCAGGAAAATGAGTAAAAATGTTCGAAATTTTTCACTTTGATAAAAAAAATGGTAGCTAATTTAGTGTTGCTTGCCTATTGGATTGGGGAAGAACTAATTTTGAGATATGTAACAATTGATTTAGGCCACCCATAACAAAAAGAAATTTACTTTTAGGTCAGTTTGGATAATAGCAGTGAAGGGAAAGGAAAGGAGGGTGGAGAGGCTGAAAAGTGGAAAGAAAAAAATCAAGGACTGTACAGTCTTGAAATCCTCCTGAGGGGTGAAAGGGAAAGGAGAGTTTTGGTTGAATTCTCATAATAGAAGTGAGGAAGGTTCGTTTATGCCAATAATTTTTTTTAAAATTGTAATTATATCAATTATATTAATTTTTTTTAAAACAAACTTATAAGAGTAGGATTTGAATCGTTGTCTAAGAAAAAAAAAATACACTTTATATGTAACCTGAGATCATTGAATTGAAGCACAAGTGCGATAATATTAGTATTTATTGAAAAAAAAAAAAAGAGTATCAAATTTGAGAGTCAAATTTCAAATTATTAGGGATACCATTAACTTACTTCTAAAAGAAAACCATGATCACTTAAACTACATGACTGTAAAGCAGAGAATGTTTGACTCAGGGACCGTGGCACGTAATTCGTTGGGTGATGTGCTGGCTGCCATAACATCCAAGGGGAATGGACTATTGTTGGCGGAGGAGAGTGAAGCATGTAGCCTGCAGAAAGCTTTACAATGGGCAACAGACCTTATGTTTGACAATATTGTGGTGGAAGTTGACTGTGCAAGCATGGTCACGGCAATTAACAGTGGCACTCATTCCTTGAACTCTAATCTTGGCACTAACCTCTTGGACAGTCATAACCTTATGGCTTCTTTTACCACCTGTCGATTGCAACATGTTCATCGCAGGGGGAACTCAGTAGCACATGAACTTGCTAGGAGGGCGCTCCAACCTGAAGATAATTAGATTTGGGTAGGTGTCACTCCTGAATTTACTGCACACCATGTAACAAGGGACAAACTAAACTGAATTGTTTGTAACATCCTTGTTTGTTTTAATGAATGAGTGGTGCTATTGGATAACATTTTTGTTTTATTTTTTTATATAATTTTCACATGTTATTAAATTAATGGATGTATTTAATATCATGAGTTCTACATAAATTAAAAGAACCAATCATTATAATAATAAGTTAAGTAGTACAAAAAAGTGAGACAAAAATGTTATATAAAAAAATGAGACAAAAAAATTACAAATATTATTTCCCTAATGAATAACAAGTGTGCATATTTTATATATAAAAAAAGTATGCTGAATACAAATATAAGTTTAACAACAAGGTAGAAAGTTTAAGGTAGTAATTAAATTCCACATTAATTAACAATAAAAAGAGAAGATACAAGACAAAGTATATATTTAGGTGTTTCTTTCATCGAGATGATGAAGAAGAGGTTGGCTTGGATTTTCTATCATTTTTAGCCCTCTTCTTTGCGGCCAAAAATGTAATCCAAGTGTAAATCTCCAAAGCCAAAGTTACCGTAGCCAATGCCACCAGAATTCCAATAAAAGTCCATCTCCATCTAAATTTGTGTGGCTTTAAAATGTCAATCCCATGAAATATGTTCACTGAGATAATGGCAATCAGTGCATATCCCAGAAAATGATGATAAACATTCCAGTGCTTCCTGTACTCATCATCTGGTGTCGGTTTTAGACGGAATGCCAGTAGCTGATGAAGAAAGGAAAAAAATATATATATCAACCAATGGAGCCAACGGGTTATGAGATGGATTACTGAGATGTCAGAAGCATGCATAAAAGTTGTCTGTAATTTGAACTAATGCAAATTGCACAACCATAATCATCAACGGAGGAGGGTTTCCTCATCGTAGGGCATTCCTCCCCTAAAATCAATGGCTAATTTGTTGTAATCCGACCTGAATCGAACTAGAAAATAAAACTTTAAAAAAAAAATTGACATGTTTTTATATTATTACTAACAAAAGAAATTAGAGAAGTTGCACTTTCTCATGTGGTACAAGTGGTCACGTTTTTCCGTGTAAAAAATAAAGTAGAGCGCATCACATAATTATCAAGTCGACTCTTCTACCTATACTCAAATAGATACTAATTTACTAATCATATTTCCTACTGTCAAAAAAAAAAAAAAAATTAGAGAAGTTTACTTGTAAAGTGGTGAAAGCAAAGATGCAGATAGCTAGAGTCCGGTGAGTATGGAAGCTGTAGAATCTTGAATAGTGTCCAATCCACAGTCCTGTTGCAAAGCCAATGGTACCAAGAACAAAGCCAGCAGTTTGGCAAGAGACATGAAGTAAGAACCACCAGCTGGATTTGAATGGATATTTCCTGAAGTACCTTGCAATTATCACTCCAATAGGCAACAATGTTCCCCACCCAATAATATTTAGGATCCCATGAACCTAAGAAAGAAAGAAGTGGTGAAATTTTGCTTCTAACCCCAGTAAAACACATTAAAGGGGATAATTTGATCAACAATCCTCAATCTTTTAAGTATAGTTGAATTTAGTGATCACCAACATTCAATTTAGTAAATTTTAAGTAAATATTAATTGTTGATCGATGGTAACATTTTCAAGATTCTTTATTGCTGCAGCCATAGAGAAGTAGTGAAATTAGCATTTTATTTTTTTGCCAACGAAATTAGTATCTAGTTGAACCAACTCAAAAAGTTAGGACCCAATTAGCACTTCAAAGAGTATAAAGCAGCACTCAAAAATATTTACCCTTCTAAGATATGCCAGAAACAGGGGACTACCTTTCTCAGCCGACGCCGCGAGTGTCCAACGCCCTTACCGCGCCCATCCGCCGACGTTAAATTCACAGTCTCTTTGCTATCAAAGTTCTGCAGAGTCATCGAATGCATCTGAGGCTCCAATCCATTGACGTACTGCCCCACTTGCCAGACATGATTTAGCCTTGAAATGTTGTAGTATATTACCGGAAGCATCACCCTGGAAAAAATAGAGAAGTAGCCGGCGCTGTTGTTGTACTCCACCGCCATGTCCTGGAATTTCACATCGACATCCGAAGGCCGGAGTGCACAACCACGCCGGGTGTCTGCGGTGATGTTATAAGTCTTAATCGCTTGTGTCCCATTTGGCATCATAATGCCTATAATGGCCCTCGTACCGACCATTCTAGGCCTTTCAGGGTTCACCCCCCATGCCAACCACCCCATTTCGGTGACGTTCTTCGTGCCCACAAAAACCTCGAGCTCAATCTTTTTCCGGTCGGTACCATTGTTGCGGTGATTCCAGGCGAATTCAGCTTCCAAGGTGGACAGTTTCTTGCAGTTAGTGCTCAGGTGTTTTTGTGCAGCCATATCTGAGAATTCATCGCTGCAGGGCCTGGGTTTTCCCTGAGAAACATTAGCGGACAATGAGGCTAATACCAAAATTACAGCCAAAGTAGAAGTAGAAGAATGCATTGTTTTGAGCACTCTCTCGTCTGTCTATGTCTTTAAATTTTCGAGGCTGCCAAAGTACTGGTGGCGCTGCAAGCAAGGAGAATGTCTCAATGAGCCTTGAAAAGTCTAGTTAAGTTTATATTTTATTTTTGTAATTTAAATTGTATTAAGTTATAAAATTAAGACTCTTACATAATAATAAAATTAAGACATTTTTTATAATTTAATATTTTGAATTACAAAATATTTTTTTATTGATTATATCGGCAAATAGATATATAATTCAATTGATCTTTTGTAGACACTTTTGTTGGGTAGCATGTAAAAATTATTAGAGTTGATAAATGGCTTTGCTAGGTGAGAAAATTTCATATAGAATAATTAACGGAAAGAACATGTGGATTAAATATAATAAATGTTAGGTAATGAACATACACTTTAACCCCCTTATATATATATATATTGACAGTAATGGAATAATGTGTTAACTTCTACACAGATACTTTGATTCACAAATTAAGGAATTGCTTTGTCCTTTGCTTTGACAACACAAAAGGAATAAGATTCTGGTTCTAGCTAGCTTCACTTTCACTTTCACTTTCATTGCTTTTCAGCCTTTTTACTGTTTATATAATAGGAAATAATTTGTATATATTTTAGTTTTACACACTTTACATTTAAATTATTAAGAAATTATTATTTTTAAATTTAAATTAAAGATAAAAAATTTTAAAATTACATATTTTAATAACTAAACTAATAGATAGTGATAAGTGTGTTGAACTAGGAGTGTACCAATCATTATTTAGGTTTTAATTGTTAATAATGCAAATGACTTAAATAGTTTAATAATTTTTTTTTCTAACAAAAATAAAAGTCATGAATTTAAATTACATGATATATAAATAGAATTGGTTTAAAGAATGAAAAAAAGTTGTGCAATCTAAAATTAAAATAATAATAACGCCAATGACCTTCGTTTTCTAATTAATTGATCCAAAACTTCAAAATAATGGCTCCAAACGATTTTCCATTTTAATGTGTTGAGTGGGAAATTGGAACCTCAGCTTTTAATTATTACTATATTAGTGAAATTGTTCTTATTAGTTTGGTTAAATACTTTTTTTTATCTCTTTACTACTGAAAAAAATTCATTTTTTGATCCATGTATTGAAAAAATAAATTTAATCTTTAAAAATTGAAATCTGACCATTTTTTAATCCATCTCTTAAATTTTTTTTGACAAGTGACAATTAATTAATGAAATTATGTGATATAAAAAATTCACTTTGTAAAAAAAAAATGATATGAACATATTTTTAAATACACATTACCACCTTCACCCTTCTGGCTTTTTTTTTCTTTTTTCTTAAACCTTTGCTGGGTTCGCCCTGGGTTTGCGACGAATTAACCCAGCTCAAGCTTGGATTGGCGAAGAAAAATCGACAGCTTATTGCATTGGGTAAACAGTGGGTGGTTTTAATTAGTTTGGCATCACTCAAAAACAACAGTAAGCTTTGAGATTTTCATCTTTCAGGGAGCTAGGCTAGAAAAAAAACATGTAATCAGAGACGCAAGGCTTAAGATCATGAGCCACGGAATCTTAAAAAAAAAAGGAAAATTACAAAAAAGCCAATAAAATATCCAAAAAATATGCTTGATAAGATAAATGTAACAAATTACATTTCAGTTACACGATATGATCCCCTATCTACGTTCAGCCGGTTCAGCTTCATTTTACTCGGATTTTGAAATTAACACAAGGACCATTTATTTCCTGTCGCAAACGAGGAATAAAATAGATTTAAGAAAGTGATTGCAGCCAAAACCCAGTAGAAATAGTCCAAAGGGACTTTGTTCATGTCATTGGAAATCATCCTTTTCCCCCTTCTCCTGGCTAGCGCAGACACCACTTGCAGTCCAAGGTTTTACCGCAGCAGCGCAAACGGAGTTCTTGTATACTGAACTCCCAAAAACCATGACAAGCGTTTCTGTTACCCTTGGTGCAGGGAATGACTGTAGGTAATTGGCTGTCTGGGCTTGTACTACAAGTCGTGTCTGCGCTAGCCACGAGAAGGGGGAAAGGGATGATTTCCAACGACATGAACAAAGCTCCTTTGGACTATTTCTACTGGGTTTTGGCTGCAATCACTTTCTTAAATCTATTTTATTTCCTCGTTTGCGACAGGAAATATATATGGTACTTGTGTTTCAAGATGCGAACAAAATGAAGTTGAACCGGCTGAAACGTAGATATCGGAGCATATCGTGTAACTGAAATGTAATTTGTTACATTTATCTTCTCAAGCATATTTTTTGGATATTTTATTGGGCTTTTTGTAACTACTTTTTTTTTTTATAAAGATTCCATGGCTCATGATCTTAAGCCTTGCGCCTCTGATTACATGTTTTCTTTTCTAGCCTAGCTCCCTGAAAGATGTAAATCTCAAAGTTGTTTTTGAGTGATGCCAAACTAATTAAAACCACCCACTATTTACCCAATGCAATAAACTGTTGATTTTTCTTCACGAATCCAAGCATGAGTTAGGTTGGTTGCCAACTTAGGACAAACCCAACAAAGGTTTAAAAAAAAAATGCCAAAAGGGTGAAGATGCTAATATGTATTCAAAAATATGTTTACATCATTTTTTTTATAAAGTGGATTTTTCATATTACATAATTCCATTAATTAACTGTAACTTGTTAAAAAATTTAATTAGGGACCAAAATGGGATTGGATTTCAATCTTTAAAAACTCAAAATGAGATTTTTTCAGTATAAGGATAAAAAGAGATTTTTTTAATGGTAAAGGGACTAAAAAAAAAAAGTATTTAACCTATTAATTTTAATGTTGTACTAGAATCTAAATGAA